GTTAGTATAGTTTTCTTTGCCATTCATTTGATATTTTATTTTGGTATGTATGATTTTTTAGTTGTTAATTTTTTTTTTCGTTAATTAAGCTTTATTGTTGTTGTTAGTTAGGCTTTTTGATGATTTTTAAAAGAGTTAGCATACACATGAGTTAATTTTTTTCTATATGATTTTTGTTTTGTTTTTAATTTGGATTTTTGATATTAATATCTATTTTATTCAGAAAATTACAATTTGTGAATATCATTTCTAATTGAATTTGAGTCGACAAAAGTATGCGCTACTTATTAAAAAATGTTTCATATCACATGTTCCTTTCAAATTTCATATGAAATATTTTTAGTTTAATTTTCTTTATCTTTTGTTTCACCGTTAGTTTTATTTAGTTTCTACACTTAATTGTTTTTATTTTTAATAAAGTACTGATAAATATCATCTATCATATCCCTATAACATATTTGTTTTTTAAAGAACTTTATAACATATTTGTTTCATAAAAAATTGAACACAAACCACAATTAATACTATTTTAAGTTAACAATTCACAATTTTAATTATTTTCAGAATTTATTTTCAAATAGTTTAATTATGATCTTAAATATAGTTTTAAATTATTTTGTGTAATTTAAATGATTTTACTAAATAATTTTAAAACATGCTAATTTTTTATTGTTACTAAAAATAAGATCTAATTTTTGTATTTTCTGAAACAGTAATTTTGAATTTATATATGAAGTTCTCAACAAAAATAACATCTTATATAGAAATAATATATTTTACTTTGTAAAATGTCTTACTAAAATATCATATACTCACTATATTTCATTTTAATTAATCATCAATGTTTTTGATTTTCTCTTATATATATATATATTTTTAATTTATTTTAATCTATAACTAGTTAAAAAAAATATTTTACTCAAAGAAGTTTGAAAGTCTTTTTACCAATGTCTAACAATTTTTACGTTAAAACATTAGTTATTTTCTTGACTTATTATTTACTATTTGAATTCACCGAGAATACATTCATTTATTTTGACTATTTTTCTTTCATTTTTATTCTATCTACTATTTTAATTCATTTATTAGATAATATTTTTTATATAAATTAATTTAGTTAATTCGTGTACTGTTAGCTAGAATGAGTTCAAATATTTATATTTCTGTTTTGAATTAAAATAAATAAATAAAAGTCAATCAATATTTCAATAGTACATATCTTTGAAATACATGAGTTTTGGATAAACCAAAATCTAATTGAAATTTGCATTTTATCATGTCAAGATATAGTTTAGGTAGCAAAATTATATTTGTCTTTGTAAATGCTACAAAAATAACATAAAATTGTCTAGATCATATTTTTTTCTATTTGTCTTTAAAGTTTTTTTTTATAAGAATCTGTATGTCTAATTTAAAAAATATTTTTATCTCATCAAACATTTGTAATTTAATATACCGAAAAACTACTTAAAAGTGTAAAAAATAATAATAATCAAATTTTATTTAATAAATATTGACATAAAAACACTCAATAATACTTTATTTATTCTAACCTAAAAACCTAATTTTTGTCATCATATTTAACTATATTCTAGATATATATTTTTTTGTTTCAAATCATATATGAATATTGTTACCTTTAAATAGTTTTATAACCAACAATGGTGATAAAATTATTGTAATATAATAAATAAAGTATTCTTTAAACATGAGTTTATTTATATTATATGTAAAACAATATTTTATTATTATTTTTGGATAGTCTTTATATAATTAAAATTGTTATTTTTAATTAATATATTTTTCTAATCTTATATTAATTTGATTTTTAATTAATCTTATATTTTATTAGTTAGTATAATATTAGAATTTGGAAATTTTCTTAATAAGTCAGAAAAAATAATTAACTTAAAAATATAATTAATTACAAAAAAAAGAAGTGGACCAATGAAATGATGTTTTTATAATTTATATATATTTATAATTTAATAATATGTTAATTTTATTTTTATAGTTAATAGAAAAATAAGATCTAATTTTTATACTTTTTAAACTCATTTTTGTTATAATATCTAAAAATTTAGAAATCCTCTACCTATTAATTGAGAATGTAGTTTAATGAAAAATGCTGATTTGTTTTAATTTGATTGGTTAATATGTTTAGTTTGAGCAATTTTAATGTGACATGAAAATGATGATGTGTAATGATGATGTAATTATGACATGTTAGTTTTTAGTACACATGGCTTGTGACATGACATTATTTAATCTATAAATAAAATTTACTGTTAAAATTTTGATACAAAATTAAAATATTTAGAAAAAATATATTTTTGTTAAATAGATTTGAAATTACATTTCGACACAAAAATTTTGCTAAAAAAATTTACGCATTTCAAATATTTAGCAGAAAATTTGTGACAACCTATTTAACGAGAAACTTTTTGATATCTCACGAAATCAAATTAAAATACTCTAAAATAAATATTTTTGGTGGGAAAGTTACAAATTCATGTTTTTGGCGAAAAAATTTTGAAATCATATTTTCAAGAAAGTTTTTTAAAATTATATTTTTAAATAAGTTTTTTTGACGGAAGATTTATGGTTTCACTTATATAGCAGAAAATTCATGAAATCAAAATTTTGACTTGTAATTTTTAGAATCACATTTTTAATGTAAAGTTTTTGGCGTATTTTTTTATGAATTCACTTTTTGGCGAAAAATTCACAAAATCAAAATTTTGATAAAGTGTTTTTAGATCATATTTTTGACGTAATTTTTTGGGTGTGAAAGTTACCTATTCATATTTTTGGCATGAAATTTGTGAAATCTGATTTTGATGAAAATTTTTGAAATCTTATTTTAAGTAAGTTTTTAGCAAAATATTTATAAGTTCAATTGTTTGTTGTGTGAAATTTTGCGGCATCAAAATTTTAGAAGGAGAATTTCTGCACTTTTATTATCATCTTATTTTGTCTCACTGTAAATAAAGATCAAAAGTTTATATTATATGTGAATGTATTTCAATTATATAGTGAGAATTACGAACCAGAAATATGACATAAACTGACAGAAAAAAATATATAAAAAGATGAAAAATATAAATAAAAATTAAAAAATAAAGAAATAACGAAAAATTATTTTATTTTATTCTATAATTTTTAAAAAAATATTTTAAATTTTTGTATATGTTTTATATTTTACTATGACTCAATTTCTCAAATCTATTGAAACACTTTTTTACAACAAATTTTTTAACAAATATAGTATCAAAACAGGTCAGTCACTTATTTATTATTAATGATATATATTATTAATAATTAATTTTTTATAAATTTTTCATGCCCGCACATTATGTGCAGCCAGCTACTTAGTTTTCCTAATAAAAACAAAACAAAATTAATTAAAATTCAGAAACTTTATTAATATCAATAAAAACGAAATTAATTAATTTTAATATATATAATTAACAATAGATGATGATGTGTACCAATAGAATTGAATTTTTAAATCCTATGTGAACACCCTTAGAGGCATAAAACTTCAACTTTTATTAGTAATAGTTAAAAATAAAATTAAAATTAATTTTAATATATATATAATTAACTATATGTGATGATGTGTACCAATAGAAAAACTATATCCGAAATCCTTTTTATCTGGCATTAACTTGGAACCACGTGCATCTAAAGCACTCTATTAGAGGTGTTCCAGAAATATCTGCAAACGAGTAAATAGCTCTACGAATTAAATCTTTTAAATCATATGTCGGCACCCTTGAAAGCCTATAGGATCAACTTATATTTTATTAGTTAGTATAATATTAGAATTTGAAAATTTTCTTAATAAGTCAATAAAAAAAATAATTAACCTAAAAATATAATTAATATAATTAATTACAGAAATAATGTGGACCAATGAAATGATTTTTTATAATTCATATAATTTTTAATAATCTAATAATATGTTAATTTTCTTTTTATTGTTAATAGAAAAATAATATTTTTATTGTTAAACTCGTTTTTATTTATAATTATCTAAAAATTTTAGATTTTTTCCTATTAACAACAAAAACAAAATTAATTAAAATATAGAAACTTTACTAATAACAATAAAACAAAATTAATTAATTTTAATATATAAATTAACTATAGATGATGATGTGTACCAATAAAATTGATCTTTTAAATCTTATGTGGACACCCTTAGAGGCATTTAGCATCAACTTTTATTAGTAATAGATTAATAGAAAAAGTTTCAAATTTTTAATAAGGGACAAATGCACATTTTGTTTTTTTTTTTATCTTGATTACATGTACATTTTTTATTATTAATTTCTCATCAAAATAATTATACAATCTTATAATGTTAATTACAAGGATTTCAGAAAACCTATAGTTAGATTAGATGTTGCTCTTATGATTATGCTATGATAATGTTTTAAAGAGCAAAAGACAGCCAATATAATGTTGATGAACATAAAGGAAAACTAGATTACCTTTTCATCATTTCGTAAGCTAAATAAAATATATCAGAATTATTACAAAGAATTTCAGAGGAAAACAAAAGAATAGATTAAGCTCAAGTTTAAACACGGTTTTTTGGTTCAACAAGGATACACAAATAATTAGATTACGCAAAGTAAGATATCAAACGAAAGACATAGTGGTTCGATTTAGCCGATTTTATGCAGAACCGGTTCAATTACAAAATAAATCGACTTAAAAAAAAAAAAAATGCGTGACGCGATAAACCCCTATTATACATGAACAAGACTTTATCATGTAACCGTTAGAAATTGCTTTTTGTCAAACGCAAAAATAACTACATTTTCTTTCAAATTTTATCTTCACACTTTCTCACAAGTTTTATCCCAAATTTTTCTCTTCTTCTCTTTTTTCTTTTGATGAATTCTTTCAGTCTAATGTTCGAAGATTTTACAAACGGATAATCTTTAGTATTATTTTTTTTTATCATCTTTTTCGTATTCTTTCGTAGCTACTACACAAGCTTGATTCCGCCTGCAAACGGATCCGATTGGTTGGGGTTTGTTGCTCGTCGTCGAGATATGTCTCTGCCTCTGTTAATTAGGGTTACTAAGTTTCATGTAATTCGTTCTTATGTTGTATCTATTGGCGATTTCGATTTTGATTCCAATCATTCTCAAGTTTGATTTTTGCAGTGATTTTTGGTTACGGTTTCTAAGTTTCATGTATCTATTGGCAATTTCAGTTTCGTTGTTTTCAGTTTTCCAATCGTTCTCGATCTTGGGTTATGATTTCTTTTTACCCTTTTCTCGTTTTGAAATCTTATTCAAAATTGGATCATGAAATCTTTCTTGTTTTTACCAGATTCCACACCTTTGTTAAGGCCTTGAACACTCAAATTCGGATCATAGGAACCATTGTGATCAAGTATTGAGAGAGTGGCAAGTCAAAGAGTGAGACTTTCATTAATGGTCGTGGATCTGCTTTTACATGGATGACTGTCAATGTAACAACACAATGGTGTCATTTATATCGGTTATCAGCTTTTCGACATTGTTTCCTGTTCTTAGGTTCTTCAGTGACTTGTATAATCACTTCTTTCCTTGAAATTTGATACAGATTGGATCCAACAAACGGTGGTGGTCAAGGTCTGTGAAAAGATCTGTATGTTCTGTTCATAGCTTTTGTGTATATATCTTAGATTCCAGAAACCCCAAATGGTTTCATTCAGCTTTTATGTTCTGTTCTCAACGTAGGAGTTGGCTATTAGGAGTGTTGAACCTCGCAATCTTTATTCCCCAGGCAACTTTTTAAATTCATTTTTTCTTGTATAATGTCTCACAAACCCCATAGTTACTTAGTGTATGAACATGGTTTTGGTTTGAACAGTTTAATTAATCACTTGGAGCGGGTCATTGCATGGAGGAGGCCTTTGTTTATGCTACAGTTTCTAAGTTGCGTCTTTAAAATTGTAAGAATTTATCATGAACATGGTTATGTCGTATCTGACTATTGTTTCTGTTTTATCTCCTCAGAAACGAAGAAGATGCAGCAGAAAATCAACGATCAACCTAAGTATTCAAAACGAGAAAAGGGTAAAAAGAAATATCAGCATAAATGAGAGAGGCTAAGCGATGAATTGCAGCCTTGGTCCAAAGAGACAAAGGCCTTGAGGAAGACAAGAAAAAGGTAATATCCGTTTGTAGTCAGAATCATAGATGCGACACTATCACTTTCTACGCATTTATGTTTTCAGAGGTGGGAATAATTTTATATTTCATGTTTTGGCAGAGTGAATGCAACTCCCTTTAGTTAGCCTCCGGTTTTGTTTTGTAGCTTCACTCCGTGTGAAATCATCTTTAAGGTAAATTCTCTGTCTTTATTAGAGTTTCCCGTTTTGTTTTTGTTTTCCTGAATTTCTCTCCATGAGGTTGGTTTTGAGCGAGGACAAACACATTTGATCATTTCTCCTCTCGGTGAGATTCTTTCTTTATTTAAACACATATGATGTCTGAAGATTTTGAAATGATTTTTTTTTTTTTAACTGGTTTGGTTTTTGATTCAACAACAAAATTCCTCTTTTAACAAGATTTCAAAGCCTGTTGTTTTTATCAAACCCAAGAGATTCTTCAAATGTTCTACCAATTCTTGTTTTGGGAAACTGTTTTGGTTTTGTTTTGAACTTTAAACCCAAAAAAAGATAAGAGGCAGACACTAATGTAACAGTGTGCTTGTCAGATTCTTATTTGGGAACCTTGTCCCGTTGCTGCCTCTAGATGAATCGTCGTATGGGTTGGTAGTGCATGTCTGTGGAAGGATGTTAGAGGATGGCAAAATAAGTCCATACGGCTTAAGAAAGTACTAAGACAAAAGTGTTCATGTTTTGTGTTTGATGTGTTTACCAAATGAAAGAAAGAACAGAGTATCGAAAGTAATCTTTAACTTATATTGATACTTGAATGTTTACACTCGTTTATTTTTGTAATAACAATAACAAAGACTCGATCTACTACTTATACAGAGCGAAACATTGTGTTTAGAAGACACGACTCTTTGTGTAAGACACACGTACAAACGTGACTCTTAGTTTAGTAACTAACTTATATAATATGTAACTAACTTATTTATTAAGACTTTATCTTATACGAATGTGATTTTAGTTCAACACCCCCTTAATCACATTTCGGTTTTACTCCAAGCTTCCCCCTAAGATCTTCAAACCTTGATACACTCAATCCCTTCGTGAGTATGTCCGCGAGTTGATCTTCTCCTTTGCAATACTCTAGCTTGATGATTCCTTTTTGCTCGACTTCTCGTACAAAGTGATACTTGATCTCTATATGTTTTGTTCTTCTATGTTGCACCGGATTTTTTCCGATTGCAATGGCTGACTTGTTGTCACATAAGATGGGGATGCCTTCTTCAAACTTTTGTCTGAAATCTTCTAAGAGTCGTTGTAACCATACGACTTGGTTCGCTGCTGCGCATACAGCGATGTACTCTGTCTCCTCCGTTGATTGGGCCACCGTTTGTTGCTTGCTTGATTGCCAACAGAACATAGCTGATCCAAGGCTAAATACATAGCCTGACGTGCTTTTCTTGTCTACGGTAGAACCTCCCCAATCACTATCCGAGTAGCCTATCAACCTTGGTGTCTCGACGCTTGTAAAGAATACTCCATAACTTGATGTTCCTTTCACGTACCTTAACACCCTTTTTGCTTCTTGATAATGCTTCTCAAGTGGTGATGACATATATCTTGAGAGATAAGAGCTTGCGTACATCACATCAGGTCTTGATGCACACAAGTATAAAAGCCCTCCAACAATGCTTCTATACTTAGTCGGGTCTCCATACTCCTTCTCATCTTCTACTCTTTTTCCTTGTGGTGTAAGTGGAGTGCTTACACTCTTGCTTCCTTCCATTCCAAACTTAGAAATAAGTTTGTTTGCATATTTTTCTTGTGGAAATATGTCGTCATCATCTTGGATTACTTCCAAGCCAAGAAAATAACTTAGCAACCCAAGATCCGTCATTTCGAACTCATTTTTCATGTTCTCCTTGAATGTATTTATGAGATGAACGTTGTTCTCCGTGATGATGATGTCGTCAACATATAGACTTACGATCAACACATTTTTTCTTTGCTTCATAATATATAACGCTGCATCGTTCATACTTCTCTCAAAACCGTTTTGAAGAAAGTATGAATCGATTCTTCCATACCAAGCCCGAGGGGCTTGTTTGAGACCATATAAGGCTTTGTGTAGTCTTAGCACCTTCTCTTCCTTTCCTTCAATCACGAACCCAAGTGGTTGTGTGACATAGACCTCTTCTTTTAGTTCTCCGTTGAGAAAAGCTGACTTCACGTCCATTTGATATAGCCTCCACTCCATTTGAGCCGCATATGCAAATATGGCTCTTATCGTATCATGTCTCGAGACCGGGGCAAATGTCTCAAGATAACCGACTCCATATTTTTGAGAAAAACCTCTTGCAACTAATATTGCCTTATGCTTGATTTGATTCCCGTTTGCATCCGTTTTGATCTTGTAGATCCATTTAACGCTTATCACGTTTTTGTTTTCCGGCTTGGTTACTAGTTCCCATGTCTTATTCTTCTCGATCATCTCTATTTCTTCACTCATGGCCTTTCTCCATTCTTTGCTGCTACACGCTTCATCATAAGTTTGTGGCTCCTCATGTGCAATAATGCACTCTTCGATCGTTTGAGCCGCTTCTTCGAACTCCACTCTTGGCGCTACTTGCAAGATCTCACTCATGGCTCTATACTTCTTTGGTGGCTCGGACATTTCTCCTTCTTCAATATAATCTTGGTCACCATGTGAAATGAGATTAGGACTAGAGATGCTTACGGGTTGATCTTTTGGTGGTTGATTGTCGTCCAGGGATAAGACAATGGTTTTCTTGATTTCTTGTTGCTTATCCCAGTCCCACCTCTTGCTCTCTTCAAACTCCACATCTCTTGATACTTCGATCTTCTCATTCTCCAAGATAAGAACTCTATAACCTTTGGATTGATTGCTATAGCCAATGAGAATTCCCTGCTTTGCCTTAGCGTCTAGCTTCCTTCTCTTTTGATCCGGAATATGCACGTAGCATATGCTTCCAAACATCTTCAAGTGTGACACATTTGGTTTGTATCCACACCATTTCTCTATCGGCGTCATATCATCTTCAATAGCCTTTGATGGTAGACGGTTTTGTAGATAAGCCGAAGTATACACCGCTTTTGCCCATAACTTGAGCGGTAATCCTTGCTCCACAAGCATTGTTCTTGCCATCTCCACCAATGATCTATTCTTCCGTTCTGCTGCACCGTTTTGTTGTGGTGAATAAGGCAACGTGACTTGCCTATTGATTCCTTCTTCTTCACAAAACTTGTTAAATTCTTGTGAAACGAATTCACCACCTCCATCGGATCTCAACTTCTTGATGGTATAATCGGATTGCTTCTCCACCATAGCCTTGAACTTCTTAAATACTACGAAGGTTTCAGACTTTTGTTTTAAGAAGTATACCCAACACATATGGGTATAATCATCTAGGAACAAAACAAAGTAACGACTCCCATCAAGCGATTTGTGCTGCATCGGTCCACATACATCCGTATGCACAATCGGCTTAAAGAAGTCTTAAGACAAAGGCTTATTACTCGAGAAGTATATATGTTTGATAACCACAAGGCTTAAAAGTGGAAAAGACACACTGAGACGAAAACAGATAACTCACGGCGTAGGAAAAGAAACGACCAATGGCTTAGACAAGTCTTAAAACAAAGACTATGAGTCAGATTTCGTGGTGTTGGACGATTTAAAAACTACCAACGGCTTAAATAAATCTTAAAAGACAAAGAGAGACGAGAACAGAATCCTTAAGAAAACACCAACGGTTTAAAGAAGTCTTGAGACAAAGGCTATGAATCTTGTGGGTTGGTTTCTGGTTTGTTGGATGGAATTAACGACTAACAAACGCTAAAACGACCAACGGCTTACAAAGGTCAAGACAAAGAAGAAAACATATTTCTCATGACTTAGCCTATGAATGAAACAAAAACAGAGACTATAGATGAAAACACAATCCAAGGCTTGAATAAGTCTCATGACTTAGCCTATGAATGAAACAAAAACTCTAAAGACAAGGACTGAAACAAAAGTCTTAGGACAGATTCTTTGGATAGGATTAACGACCAGTGACTGAAACAAAAGTCTCAAGGCTTAAATAAGTCTCATGGCTTAGACTATGATTGGAAAACAGAATTCTCTGTTGATTCGTTGGATGGAAAATACAATCAGCAGCTTCAACTACTACGAATGAATCAGTAAAAACTAATTAATTCTGATTTTTTTTAATTTTCAGGTATGTGCTTCAGAAGGTGTTCTCAGGAGATTTTAAGTGTAGCAGATTTCTGTGACAGGTATGTGCTTTTCAAACTTTCTTGTAATTAGTTTATGAAATTCAAAAATATCATAAACATATGTGAAGTAAAGACTAATTTTGATATTTCATAAGATTTCAAAGCCCAATTTTGATATTTCATGAGATTTCAAAGCCTTAAATAAGCATCCAAAATCTTAGGATTTTATAAATGTCAAAGCCTAATGTGGCTTGTCTCGAAACCATTGACGTCTCTATGGGGTTTTCCCAATCACTTGAGAATGCAAACACACACATGCATATGCACAGGCACACATACATTCATACTTTTTTCATACCTGCTTACACGTTTACATTCATATCTGCTTTCATTCTTCATTGTTTACTTGATTTTGTGATTTTTTTTGTTTTATTTTCTTGCTAACTTACTTTTTTTTTGCTTTCATTAACTTTTTTCCTTGACTCTTTGATTTCTTGCTTCTTTACTTGCTTTCTTAATTTGTTGTTTACTTTCTTGGTTTCTTGCATTCTTGCTTGCTTTTATAGAAGAATTCTTCTATGATTGCTTAGTTACGTGCTTCTTTAATGTATGTTCAACTACTTTTTTTTTTTTTTTGCAATTTTGTCACTACAGCTCTGAACTTTGAAACTCATTTTATTATTTAGATTACTAGTCTATGACTTTTGTGATACGCTCTGGATTCTCCAAAATGTTACCGTGTTGTTGTGTGAACAAAATTTTTCTGGCCACATTTTCATCCCAAATTTTAGGAAATTTATTTAAAGTTAATAAATTTATCAATTTTAACCGGATTGAAATGTCATATATATATATGACTTTAAGAGATTAGTTAATGCATTGCTTTCAAGTTTTAAAAAGTTCTTCTTTGGGACCCTTCTTTAACTACTACCTCTTCCTTTTCTCCTTGCTTTCTCCTGCTCATCATCATCATCATCATCATCATCATCATCATCATCATCATCATTATCATCATCATAATCATAATCATAATCATAATCATCTCATCATCTCATCATCATCATTCATACGATGATTAAAACATTGCTTTGATTATCTCATCGTTTGGGGTAAGCAAACAAAACGTGAATAATAGCGGTATTGAAGGTCATTGCTATCATCATCAAAGCATTACCATGAACAATATGCTATTGTTATAATGTCAACAAGGATAAAAGTCCACATGATAAAGCTTTTTTTTTAAATAAACCAAAATCCATAACATCATAGATTTTGACGTATCAACCATTCCAATTATATATTTTTTTTTTTGTTTTCCAGCCCTTAATTTGTGTATATATAGAGTTGATATATATAAAGACTAGACAAACATCAACATATACGTTTCCAATATCTTCATCGCCTTCTTCTGCGTATTAATATGGTTTGTTTATCTGTTCAAATCTCAAACTCAACAGGTAAACCTTCTAAGTAGCGATATTGGTACGGTTGAATCTAATCAAATCGCTCTATTCTTCATTTAGATCAACTGATTTGATTGAGCCGTGCCAATATCTCTATTATGAAAAAAAAATCACATATTTTATGTGAATTGTTTCTTTTATAACATGATTTTGCCAACCCTGACCTAATGTTAACTTGTCTCCGAAGAAATAGCATAAGAAAGTTGTCTACTTCCGTGGATCCGACAAGTACAGATTCGAATTTTGTTTTACGTCGAGCAAGATCTTTAGAACCAAAGATCTCGTGTGGAGTCTTCGAAGGAGGAAAACGGAAAATGGGCCTTAGTGTCGCTGTCACGTGATCTCGGAGTTCTCTTGAAGAGAATATACTCTTCAATGGAAGTCTCTTTACTCTCATGTTCAGCGGAGAGTGCTAATGCGGCCTTGTTAACTATAGGCTTCCTCAATCTCTAATCGCTCAACAAAAGCATCATCCAAGCTTTCGGTTTCAGAACATTCCAAGTGAGGACAATGTTGCGGCAGATCTACTTAGCAAAGCAGGCGAGGATCAGTTACAAATCTTTTTATCATTACTTGGCTCTAGGTTTCTTCTCTCTTTTGTTTGTAATCTTCTTATCATATCATATACTCTTTTCTGGTCTCTCTTTTAAATAACGATCTACTACTACTGTCTTTTTGTAATATCCTCCTGTTCTAGTGTTCTTTTAGCAGTATAATATTTTGCCGACAAAAAAAAACCGAAGCATTATTTTTTTTTTTCTATTGGAATATGTTCTACAAAAACCAAACAAACAATATTGTAGGTGTTATTAGTTTTTGTGTTTTAATGGATTTGAGAATCTAAACCAAATTCAGTGTTATTGATTCTTGTATTTTAAAATATATATTAAAATACATTATTATTGGTTATATGATTTTAAAATTCATAATGAAATATAGTGTTATTGATTCTATAATTTTAAAATCTAAATATTATAAGAATTTGAGTTTTAATTGAATTTAAATAGATTTGGAACAATTTTCATGACTAAAATACAAAGAACCAAATATAAAGTTTAATCTTAGTATTTGAGTGGATTTGATTTTTTTTCCTTTTTGCTGAATTTAAAATCAATAGATTTATCAAATTCAAATAAGATTTCTAAATTCATCAATATAGAAGAACCAATAATCTCTAATATAATATAGGCCAAAAGTATTATACAAGTTTTTGTTGTTCGGTGAATTCGGAGTATTATTACTTTATTAAAATGTTTTACGCGAATTTGATACTACAGTAGGCTAGTAGCTAACAAAATTGGGGTTGATCCATGCATATATTCAGTTTTTTTTTCATATTATCTCTCACCAGAATTTAATAGCTTAGGTAATCTACTGATCACAAAACTCGAACATAACCACACATAGTGAAAGTAAAGAATTGTTAGATACAAAAACTGACAAAGAAAAATTCTTGATAAGCAATGAAGATCAATTTGGGATAAATTATCAAAAAGTTACACAACCGGATAATGGTGATCAAGCATGTAAAAACGTCTTTGATGTAGAAAGAAGATTATGTCCTGTCATATTTAACGAGCAATCTTTACCATAAGAAACCATCATGTCTTGTTGTTTTGTTTAGTCCACTTAATTGTGCATTTTACTCGTTGTAAACATAAACCGGAACTTTTGAAATCTTCAAGTTAATGAATACTAAGACTTTTAAAACATGAACAAAAAATTAAATAGAATTTTTGACAAAAATAATTGTGATTTGCTTATACATATCTGTATAAAAAGTGTAAAGAAAATTAATTTGGTCCAGAAAAACACCACAATGATGTTAAGACTAGAACGACCAAACGCTGTCGTTTTGATTGTACGGTCAGTACAGTACTTTAACATATGCTGTTAAATCTGTATGTGTATACACATTTCAGATAGCTTTCGTAGCTTAGCTTTGCCGCGAGCTGTGTGCGAGATTGGTGACGAAATCCCGCCTTTGTGTTCCGTTTTTTTTTTTGGCACAAATTTATTTTTCAAATCCCCAATTTTGGTTTTCTTCTCTTGATCTAGGGTTTTGCTCCTTTTCGAATTTCTCCCAAAAAGCTCTGAATTTTAGGTTTTTACTTCACCCTTAATTCGATTCTCTCCTTTCCACTCTTCATCTGTCTCGGGTTCTGTATCCTCACATGGCGACTGAAATCCTAGCGGAGAAGATACCAGAACCGGAATCTCCACTGAAGGAAGAAGATGGTGTTGCTGATTCCGAGAAAAAGGATGCTCCTTTAAGTGACGAGAAGGAGGTGGAGGAAGATGAGGCGAAAGACGAAGACATGGAGGAGAAAGGCGAAGTAGATGACGGAGAAAGCGATGAGGAAAAGACTGGAGAAGAAGGTAAGTCGCCGGTGACTCCAGTCAGTGAGAGGCCAACAAGGATACGAAAGAAAGTGGTGCGTTACATTTTGCCTACTCCCTCTCGACCGGCGAGCAAGCCTGTGTCAATTGAGCAGGTAGAAAACGATGAAAGTTTGGTTCTTTCACTTTTGATTTGAGTTCTATGAGAGAATTGGCCTTTAACTAGTTCTGGTTTCAGGGTCGTGGAACACAGCTCAAGGAGATTCCAAATGGTATGTGTTGACTTAACCACACATTGTTGATTTGGTCCTTAACCTCAATAGATTTCGATTAGGTGTTCTCTACATGATACTTAATGGGAAGATGATGAACTGTAATGTTCGCTTGTGAACTGTTTTTTTTTTTCAGTGGCTTATAAACTCTCCAGGAGGAAACCTGACGACAACCTCTTCTTACTTCACACCCTTCTCTACGGGAAGAAAGGAAAGGTGCTTTGAATTGTTTTGATCTCATATTCCTCTCATTTAATATGTATATTCCTTTCTGTTTATATGATATGAATGCTGTCTTGGAATTTCCATGTTTTATTTTGGAATTTTCAATCATATATGATATGATTGGTTACTCAAAGGGTTGTGTGAAAAAATCAATGTGCAGGCGCAGACGCTGAAGAGAAACATCGGTCAGTTCTCTGGTTTTGTATGGTCTGAGGATGAGGTAGCATCATCATCTCGTAGATATTTAGCTCCAGGAATGTGTATGATGATCAGCCTTTGTTTTGAGAGCGGTATTTTAATTTTTCTCCAGGAAGAGAAGCAAAGAGCAAAAGCAAAGGAGAAGCTTGAGAAATGTATCAAAGAAAAGCTGATTGATTTCTGTGTTGTGCTTGACATACCGATTAACAAAAATAATGTGAAAAAGGTAAATGATAAGAAGATTCGGTCTATCTATCAGTTGGTCTAATCAGATTTTATATCCATACATCTGTTCTGCTACCTCCAGGAAGAACTCGCTGTAAGAGTGCTTGAATTTCTGGAATGTCCCAAGGCAACAAGTGATATTGTACTTGCTGATCGTGAAAAGGTACTCTAAATTAGCAGCTGAATCTGATTACTCTTCGCTAATGTTTTGTTTTAATTGTTTTCTCTCTTCTTTAAATACATATTATATAGAAATCTAAAAAAAGGAAGAAGAGCACACCTGTAAACGTGACTTCTAAAGAATCAGCAGATGTCCCAGCCAAGGTTTGTAATTGTTAAACCTTCCTCTTCTTTGTAGTTTGTAACTGTTGACCTGATTTGTTACATTTTAGCTCCTGGCTGGTAACAATAGCTCTTTTCCTAGTATTGTAATCAAGTTTGGTGTTACTTGAACCATGTGGTCTTCTTTATGATTTGAGAAGTTTCGTCAGTCTCCCTCATTTATTCTTGAATTCAGAACTTTATCTAGGAAATCTCTGCAATTCACAGTGTGGAACAATCTCTAAGTTGCATCAATGCGTTGTTATCTGATTGTCATACTGTCGTTAAGCTGCAGCTGCCATTTGGTTTTCGGGAAATATTAAGCAATGTATGGTACCATAATGAAATCAGTCTAAGAAAAGTAGCAAATCCAAGCTAACTTTTTTGGCTACATCGCATCACTGGCTTATGCTATTCTCCTATTTTAATCTGCTCATTCTCATTAGTTTTTCTCATTTAGCTCCTTGCGTGATATGGTTTTAAATTTTCTCTTTATACGTTTACATTTCTGGAAGGAAGGGTTCTTAGCATTTTCATTGAATGTCATCTCTCTTTATGTCTGTGGTGGCTTGATTTTGAAGCCTTTGAAGAGGGTTGCATAAACATCTACTCTCTGTTTGATATTACAGAGGAGAAGGCAGACAAAGAAATCCGGAAAGAAGCAAGATCAGCCATCTAAAACCGAAGAAGGAAAAGATGAGGGAGATGTTGGTTCCGAAGGAACTAATGACTCTCATGGAGAAGATGATGTAGCTCCAGAGAAAGAAGACGACGAAAACGAAGATACTGAAACTGAAGATGAGAAAGAGAAAGTTGAGTTGAAAGAGTCAACCGATAAGAAAAGGTCGTCAAAAAGAACTAAGAAGGTTAAACAAGCACCCGAAGAGGAGAAATCTCTTAAAGGTTCTGCAAAATCTGGTCGAAAGTCCTCCAAACAAGTTGATAAATCAACCTCATCATCAAGCAAGAAGCAACAACTTGATAAAGACAGTTCCTCTAAAGAGAAAGAGAAAGGCAAGAAACAGACAAGTAAACTACAGGCAAAGGGGTCCAAAGATCAAGGTTTGAACGAGTTCTCAGCTCTGTTTTCAAAAGCTTAAATCTCATTTTAGTAGTTTATCGTATTGCTGTGTTGTGATTGTGGAGGTACAGGAGAAGCTAGTAAGAAAGGTAAAACAGATCCCACAAGAAAAGAAATGCATGTAGTGGTGGCCAAAATTCTGAAGGAAGTAGACTTCAATACGGTAAGACTTCAGTAGATTGAAATTTGACAGAATTATATACAAACTGATTACCAAAACTTCAAACTTAAAAAGACATTATGATCTTTGTTTCGAAACAGGCAACTCTATCTGATATTCTGCGGAAGCTTGGTATGTTTCACTTTTTTCTCAAATTATAAATGTTATCTCCTTCTAAATTTTACAGGGAATGTTTTTACATTAAACGTTCTTTTTGTTTGTTTGTTCTGCTTGTCATAATATTAGGGAGTCATTTCGGAGTTGATCTCATGCATAAAAAAACAGAGGTGAAGGATATCATCACAGATGCCATTAACGAAATGAGTGATGATGATGAAAGAGAAAAGACAGAGGATGAAGGTGAGAACAAGAAAGCAGAAGAGAGAAAGGATTAGTTTTGTCTTTCTTCTCATTTCCTCAAATCGGAATATGAAAAGTAGGAGGACGGTTTAACATAACCTTCATGTGTGAAATCATATTTGTTTGTACTTTAGTGTATTGTGATGTGTAATCTGTTAGGCTTATCTAGTTTCAGGTTCTTCCTTCATACTTGAGTAGCTGTTATTAAGTTTCTAACTTATTGTTTACTCTTTTGTTTAACATTGTATGATTGGATGTGTATTGTGGAATTTGATTTAATTGGGATGTTTTGTAAGATTGTTAAAAGTTTCTTCCTTCTCTATTTTATTCACGTCTAAATAGAGTTAGTTTCATAATCATTTCTTGATCTCTGGTATGGTGTTCTAACCTGAGTGTACTAATCAATTGTATCGATTCAATTCACAGTTTGTAAAAGTTGCGTATATGCGACAGTTTTTTCACACTTTGTCCTACATCTAGCTTTTAATTTACAAGTGAATCATGTTACGCATCCTGAGTATTATTTCACACTAATCTCCGTATATATCAATTAAATCCTGACAATGTTAATCATCAGAGGTATCATTTCTGAAATTAATTTATCAAAAATTGTTTCGGAACCTAATGAAACATCCTCATTATTTCAAAGAAAGATACAGCTTTGACTTTTGGGGTTAAATAATAGACCCTCTACATCAAATATGACCCTATTGTTATAAATCAATCTTATCGTTCAACTAATCAGTTATGCTCAATAAATTTGTATTTATTCAAGCAACCGTCCAAATTAACTACAAAATGTATTTATGTTGCTAAAGCCTTTAGTGGTCCTTACAAGCTTTAATTTCCTCATTATTCAGCTACACAATCTTCACTTGCTAAGCAAGAATCCTAAACCCTAAATTCTACTTAAACGGTTAAACCTCGTAGGAACCCTATTTGAAGATCATTCTTGGTTCTTAACATTCTCCATTCCATTGCAAAATCTTTAGTGGTCCTTAAGCTATCTCTTTCTTATCTCTTTAGCTATGCAGTAGGTTGCTACACAAGATACCCCTAGCAATAATCTCTACTTAAACTATATATATATCAAGATCTATCCTCCATTAATTCCTCATTTTCTCCATTGGATCTAAAGACTTATAACTAAACATTTTTTGGTTTTTTCAACGAAAACCCTTGAAATGGCCGACTCATTCGAGTTCGTAGTGACCACGAAAAGTCTTGTACTCGTCCCTCCGAAGTCAGAAACTCCAAAGGGTCTTTACTATCTCTCGAATCTCGACCAAAACATCGCCGTCGTGGTCAAAACGTTTTATTACTTCAAATCGGAGTCAAGAACCAACCAAGAATCCTACAATGTGATAAAGAAATCTCTCTCTGAGGTTCTTGTCCATTACTACCCTGTCGCTGGAAGGCTGACGATCAGCCCGGAAGGAAAGATCGCCGTGAATTGCACCGGAGAAGGAGTAGTGTTGGTTGAAGCTGAGACTAGTTGTGGGATAGAGATGATCAAAGAGGCTATCACTGAGAATAGAATGGAGGCGCTCGAGAAACTTGTTTACGACGTTCCTGGTGCCCGGAACATTCTTGAGATCCCGCCGGTGGTAGTTCAGGTAAGGCTTTGAATCCATCTCTTGCTTAGTTATTGTTTTTTTTTTTTATCATTAACTTGCATAAGCTTTAACTATGTTGTTTATTGCTTTGGTCCGAGGTATCCATCACCGTAATTACAATGACATGGACATCAGAGTAGCTAACAATCATCGTATTTAATGTTGGAGACAAAAACTTTCTTTATTTTTTAGCTATTTGATAGTATATAGTATCCATAAATTATCGTATTAATTACGTTGGTTTTGTCGAAAATGTATAATAAGGCGATTTTGAATATAGATATCGCTTTCGAGAGAATTCAATGTATTAAATAAGTCAAGTGTTAAAAAGCGAAAACCAGCGTATCAAATGATTGAAATATGACAACATGTTTCATTTGTAATGAACAAACATTAATATACTACTAGTAACAAATGATCCGATGGTTGAATGTTAATTACCCATTAAATATAAATGATCCGATGGTTGAACGTTAGAATAAGTTGATCGTGCATTAATTCATGTTAATACAGATTTTTCCTGTTCCGATTACTTTCTAGGTGACAAAATTCAAATGCGGTGGTTTTGTCCTCGGACTAGGAATGAGCCACAACATGTTCGATGGAGTCGCGGCCACGGAATTCCTCAACTCGTGGTGTGAGACGGCCAAGGGTCTCCCTTTATCCGTCCCGCCTTTCTTGGACCGCACGATTCTCCGACCAAGAAACCCACCCAAAATCGAGTTCTCACACAACGAGTTCGAAGAAATCGAGGACATTTCCGGCACCCGAAAACTCTACGACGAAGAAAAACTCGTCTACAAATCGTTCCTCTTCGAACACGAAAAACTAGAGAAGCTCAAGAACATGGCAACAGAAGAAGACAATACTAATAACAGCAATAAGGCTACGACATTTCAAGCCTTAACCGGGTTTCTTTGGAAATCACGGTGCGACGCGCTACGGTTTAAACCGGACCAACGGGTTAAGCTTCTTTTCGCGGCTGATGGACGGTCAAGATTCATCCCACGTCTCCCGGAAGGATATTGCGGGAACGGTATTGTGTTGACCGGTTTGGTGACGTCATCGAGGGAATTGGTTGGGAATCCTCTTTCTCATTCGGTTGGTTTGGTTAAGAGTGTGGTCGACTTGGTTACGGACGATTTCATGAGATCGGCTATCGATTACTTGGAGGTAAACCGGACCCGGCCGAGTCTGACCGCGACGCTTCTGATTACGTCGTGGTCGAAATTGACATTGCATAAACTGGATTTCGGTTGGGGTGAACCGGTTTTATCTGGACCGGTTGGTTTACCAGGGAGGGAAGTGATCTTGTTCTTGCCAGGTCTCGACGATACGAAGAGTATCAATGTGTTCCTTGGTCTTCCTGCTTCGGCTATGAAGGTCTTTGAAGAGCTTATGAAGATATTTTAAAGAATTACTGTAATTTCACAACCACAAATTATGAATTTTAATTATTTCAATTTAAAAGAAGAAGAACGATGATACATAATTATTATTTATACATGTAGGTTTAAATTTACTGCTTGTATCGATTTCAAAAGTGTATGGAATTTCAGAAAATATTAGCCAATTCATTTTTTAAAACAAAAGTCAAAGAGACGACAAAAGTTGACTTGGGTTTCAGATTCCGGGTCGGATCCCAACGGAGCAGGTCTTAATTTTAAACACCGGGTCGGCTCCATCTCAAATCTCAAAAATCTCAAAATCACCATCGCCTTATCTTGTTGACTCTCTCTTACGAGCGCGAGTGAGGGAGACGTAGATAGATAGCAACAATGGCGGCGACGCTTACAGGATCGGGGATTGCTCTTGGGTTTTCGTGTTCCGCAAAGATCTCTAAGAAAGCTACTTCTTCTTCTTCCTCGTCCAACCGCTGCTGCATCAAGATGTCGGTTTCGGTAGAAGAGAAGAAGAAGAACTTCACTCTTCAGAAATCCGAAGAAGCTTTCAGTGCTGCCAAAGTAAGCCTTTCAATTTCGATGAATTCAATTCAATTCATAATAATTCTCTATTGGGTCGAAATCCGACGAGATTTCAGGTCGATTACGCCTTAGTTTTGGTTAGAATTGGATCATTTTGTGGGTTAAATCAGCCTTCTACATAGTCTTCAACGAAAATTTCACACATACATGAAACAGAATCACAATCTGAGAAAGAAAAAAAAGTTTATGGTTTCATGGTAATCTGTACAAGTTCTGATTGTTGGAACTGATTGTAGAACTTAATGCCTGGAGGCGTGAACTCACCAGTCCGAGCATTCAAATCAGTAGGTGGACAACCAGTAGTGATAGATTCAGCAAAAGGCTCACGAATGCGAGACATTGATGGAAATGAATACATTGACTATGTTGGATCTTGGGGACCAGCCATCATTGGCCACGCCGATGACGAGGTTTGTGCTCTTCTCGATGATACGATTTTTGCCAGATGACTTAAAATTTTAGTATTTTTGATCATCCTGTGAACTGTGTCTAGCGCAGGTTCTTGCAGCTTTAGCTGAGACGATGAAGAAAGGAACGAGCTTTGGTGCTCCTTGTCTCTTGGAGAACGTTCTTGCAGAGATGGTGATTTCAGCTGTTCCGAGCATTGAAATGGTTCGGTTCGTCAACTCCGGTACAGAAGCGTGTATGGGAGTGCTCCGTCTCGCACGTGCCTTCACTGGAAAGGAAAAGTTCATCAAGTTTGAAGGTTGTTACCACGGCCACGCAAACTCTTTCCTTGTCAAAGCAGGTAGTGGTGTAGCCACTTTAGGTCTACCTGACTCTCCCGGTGTCCCCAAATCAGCTACTTCGGATACTTTAACAGCTCCGTACAACGATCTTGCCGCGGTGAAGAAGCTCTTTGAGGCGAACAAAGGAGAGATCGCTGCCATTATTCTCGAACCCGTTGTTGGTAACTCCGGTTTCATCACGCCTAAACCAGAGTTCATCGAGGGGTTACGGAGGATTACTAAAGACAATGGTGCGCTCCTCATTTTCGATGAAGTCATGACCGGTTTTCGTTTAGCCTATGGTGGAGCTCAAGAGTACTTTGGAATCACTCCTGACTTAACAACTCTCGGGAAAATCATCGGTGGTGGTCTTCCCGTGGGAGCATACGGTGGAAGACGAGACATTATGGAAATGGTAAAAGCTTGAGTTGTTTGAAATTGATCCTCGAAGTATCTTTGAAGGAGAAAGTCGTGAGCTTTGTTGACCATTCATGTCTTTCTTGCAGGTTGCACCAGCAGGACCGATGTATCAGGCTGGTACGCTAAGTGGTAACCCTCTGGCTATGACAGCGGGTATTCACACGCTGAAGCGGTTAAGTCAGCCTGGGACATATGAGTACTTGGACAAGATCACGAAAGAGCTTACCAATGGGATACTTGAAGCCGGGAAGAAAACAGGGCATGCCATGTGTGGCGGTTACATAAGCGGGATGTTCGGTTTCTTCTTCACGGAAGGACCTGTATACGATTTCTCGGACGCGAAGAAGAGCGATACAGAGAAGTTTGGAAAGTTTTTCAGAGGAATGTTGGAGGAAGGTGTGTATTTTGCACCTTCTCAATTCGAGGCAGGTTTTACAAGCTTGGCTCACACTCCAGAAGACATCCAGTTCACCATCGCTGCGGCTGAGAAAGTTCTAAGTCGGATCTAGTATGTTCTTGAGAGATTCTTGAACCATGAGTGTTCTTGGCTTTATTCTCGTTTTTCCCCCGTTTGTACTGATTTGATCAGATGAGAATTCTTGTGTAGTGAGTTTTTTTTTATCTATTGGTAGATAGACGGATAACCGGATCCCGCTATGCTATTGTCTAAATCCGAGGAATAAACCGGAGTTAACCAACATTGGACACAATTTGCAAAGCTTTTGATGTAAAGAAAAGTTTGTATCAGACTTTAGAGTTTTAGAGTAATCTGAATATTACAAAGTTGATGTGTGGTAAGGAAAGTAAAAGAGGCCTATGAAAGAAGATTTGTGGACATTTTTGAAAAAGCTATGGTTTTGCGTTAACGGCTTACAATACAATACATTTGATCAAAATTATCAGAGGTAGCTGTAAGTGGAAAGGCCCAGGTCCACTATAAATATTGATTTCCGCTACACAATACATGGCCCACTGAGTCCATACAAAAGGCTCTTATTTATTTGTTCAAATATTATACTCCTTAGATTTGCGTTGGACAATATATTAATTTTCATACGAGTAATGAAAGTTTAATTGTATATATATTGATATGATGATACCCCTTGAAACAAAAACAGCAAACAGATATTTATGGTTAAATTGGAAAATAGGAAATATACATATATCCCCAATAGAGATAATTACATAAAATTTAAAAAGAAGTAGAGAACTTAATTCCGGAAAAACATATATAAAACATCCGAAAATGCATATATATATATATGTTATCCCGGGAAATTAACTCTCTACTTCGCACACTTGATAAACTCAGAAAAATAGGACAGCGTAACGGGTACACGTGGTGGTTGGTATATCAAGTTTGGGGTAAAAGTCAACAGTGGATAGTCAACGAAATGGTTTCATCAATTCATGTAGCTGTTGCGGAAGAGGACTGCTTGCCGTTTTTAGCGTTTTGTTCATCTTCAACCTCAGCCCTCCGATCATTTCCGCAGGTACACTTGTTCGCTTGACGAACGACTGTGATTGGCGCTGGCTCAGGGGATGCGATTGTACCTAGCTTCAGCATATCAAGACTCACCTCCGGTAACTTCGCAGCTTCCACTTCTTTCTCTCCCAAATGCGGCGGCGTTTTACAGTATTTGTATATTACGTAGAGTATCATTTGGAGTGCACCGAGACCAAAACCAATCACATTAGGGAACTGCCAAAAAAAAAAACAAAAAAAAATATTTCATTTAGTGGCAATAACAACATGATAATTATTTAATACACTCACTTTCCACTTTATAAAACATATGATATTAAAGTACGTAAAAAAAACTTATGACGAAAAGTAAAGTTTAAGGCAAACTTGTGCGGCATCGATAGAAGTTACGTACAAAATAAAATTTCCGCGTAACAATAAAAGATAAAAAGAACTCTAATATATATGAAATTTCTTTTGCAAAAGCTAAACCCAATTCTTTAATGTTTCTTTGGCACATAAAGCGAGTCTCTTTATAATTTTTAATCGTAAAGGACAATACCAAACAAAAGTGTTTTGGTTTCCTTTAATTGTTCATCTTTTGCCAATCCATATCTCTTTTTATCTATGAATCTATGATTAGAACCTCAAAGTCTCAGGTACATTAGAAACAAAAGCACCCACTTCATCTAATATACGTTATAACAATGATAAAACATATGATTATGATTCCTAAAGTCACGATAATAATGTTAAAACATATATATTCATTTTTTATAGCAAAATATATCCAAACATGTATACATGCAATACCATATATTTGTATACAAATTGATTTATAAATACAGAAATAGAGAGAGAGAGGAAATGACTTACAGCAACGTAGATGTCCTTGAGAGCAAGACCATAAAGGAGCCATATCACAGCACTGATTGTAAGGGTTAAGGATAAGCTAAAGGGCATGTACTCCACACTCCTTGTCTTTATTACCGTCCTCTACATTTTCAAAGATATTAACAGATGTTAATTATTGAAACTCAATTATAATCAATCATTATGTATAACTAGCTTTCTCTAAGTAGTTCTGTACTTACGATAATGCTTAGAGGAGCAGCGAAAACACAAACAGAGAATCCGACACAGATTCCTCCGATAATCTTAGCACGTGTGGTTCCTTTAACCAAGAATTGGCAAAGGAGGAGAATCAGACAAAATCCTCCAAAGTTCATAAGAAGTAGCAACTTCACTGTCAGCATCTGCATCCATGAAAAAGAGATAATATATAGTTAGCTATTTTATTCAATATTGTATACACACGTTTATATAGGAATCGATCGAGGGTTTTCAGGTACCCGGGCTTTCTTGGGGGCGAAGGCAAGGTAGATAGATATGTAGATGGTTTCAATGAAGCAGCCAAAGGCGTTGATGGTGACAAGGAGGAAGACATCTTTCTTCTGTGTCGCGTAGTAAAGCCATAGCGTCGCGCTGAAGAGCGCCACAACGTACGGAAGAGACTGAAACCCTTCTGTTGTCTTCTTCTTCCAAACCCTATAGAACGTTGGCCTGCATCCATTTTATATAATCTTGATATTACTGAATTATAAACGGAGAGTATTTATGTACGCAGTAATGTGTACGTCTTAGCATATACATGCTCGTTTATACGTATTAGATTACGAAGAAAACCAGATCAGTAATACGTGATAAAACACAAATAAATATCTTTTGGTTTTCTAATATATGTTGAGGTAAGATGTGAATATAACTTACACAGGAGAGAGGAACACGGCGAAGGAGATGACATTTCCTGAAGGAATAGAAGAATATAACAACAAAAAGATTTAGTATTAATCAATCGACATTAAATCTCTGGAATTTTGAGTAAGTTTCAGAGCTTGATAGAAAGAAAAAAAATCTAGGAAATGAACACAAATTTAGTATCATACCCATCAAACCGAAGACAAAGGCCCATGTGTTGTGAGTGTCGAAGAGAGGCATGATTTTCTTTTGGTTTATAGAAACTGTTTAGGGTTCTTAGGAAGAAGAAGAGGAAGAGAGTTTGCACTTAGATTTCTAAGTGTTTTCTCTTATTATAAAAACTGATGGCACGAACTTAGCATTTCTAGGACTTCACGTATATATAGAGGGTTAGGGCTAAAGAGAGGAATGGGGTTTGTGTGGGTAGAGAGATGGACAAAAGTGAATGCTTGTGTGAACAATAAAATTTTGAATACTTTTGGAAAATTATTTTTAAAAACATTACTGTCGTTTGTAGTTGTATTACAGGGAAAAAAAAAGAGAAATGTATACCAATAATTCACACGCTAATCCATTACCAAATTGTATACATGTTGTCGTACAAAAAACAAATATCCCTTACCAAAATAACTTTTTTGGGGTTTTGGCTTAAGAGATAAATTAGTTAGATTACTAATGCTTGTCAATCTCAGTTTAGGCAAGCTTTTTTTTTTTTAAGAATTATGTCTAGATACTACCTATGCATCCGTATACACACAAAATAGTTCTGATTGGAAAACTCGAGAATGACATAAACAATAACCTAATTATTTTACGATTTAATTGTTTTTGACCAATCTTCTTATTTTCCAAAGAGACATAATAACTATGTTATACTACTCGGTTATATCGTGTTTTTCTTGATCGTTTAGTTTTAGCCCGCATGTTTTGATTATTGTAACCACCGTGATGATTTCGTAGTGTTACTAATTAAAACCAACGTAGTACTTAATTAGCAATGATCAAAATTAATGATTATATACTTTACAAAAAACAAATTGGCATGTAGTGGAAGATTATATAATCTATGTGCGTTGAATTATATGAAGTAATGTACAACTAATTATATGAATAGATACACACTGTATATACAATGTAATGATTTTCACTAGTTCTCTATCATTAAATATTACGACAATAATGTGGAAACTGCTTTAGATATCTTCTTAAAGAACCTGAGATTTGCAAAGTTCACTAAATTTACGTTACCAAGCAAATTAGTTCACGTGACACTGTATGTCAAATATTATGCCGTTTTCACCTTTTAGCTCTTTTTAATCCTGATATTCATGTTTCTTTACAGAAAAAAATAATAATTAGCCGTTTCTCAATCATTATTCTTTTGTCCGTACCGTCGGAATAAATACAAATTCTTTTTTACAATTACAATTACAAACATGTAGGAACTCATACTAAAAATTTAGTAGACAGTAAATACTATTTTTTACCTATTAAAATCTAAGTTTATCTTTCAATATTAACTTACACAGAACATTTAAGGCTGTTCACTATTTGTTCTCTTATAATTTTTTTTTTTAAAAAAAAACTGTTTATGTTATTAATATGTAGTTATAATAAAGTAGTTATGCCCTTTCTGGATCCCATTTTAATTTTTCTGTTCTCTTACGGTAATAGTGTTTGATGAAATGAAATAATTGGTCGGGAAATAAAAAGTTTCATCACGTCAGGCCTCTCGGGTCGTATGGACGTCGCGGGCGCATTATAGAGGTAGAAAGCTCTGTTAGCGTTACAAGTGGCACACTTTAGAGGATACAGTGGCAATTATAACCTTTTCCTTTTATTTTTTGCCAGTAGACGTATTGCAATTTGTAATACTTGTATCGACATGTACATACATAATACACAACATAAGCAAAGTTGTTCACCGGAATTTTTTGACGCTCGGAAAAACATATGATCATTGTCAAATTGGTAAGAATGTCGAATCAACAAAAATGACTTGATTTTAGTCCGATTAATCAATCTAAGCGCATTTGGTTGATAGACTTTTGTATCTAGTATTATTCTTGGGTTTAAAATTTATACTATTTTTTATCGATAAAATTATAAATATGCCTTTTTATTGAATTCCATGAACAAAATGTATATTTTTTGTTTAACTATTTTATCAACCCAACATAGTTAAACTAGCTATTTGTATAAATATGCCTTATAATATTGATAATTTGATATATAAAAACTTTAGTTTACATTCTTTTTGGGACGAAAAATATATTTTTTAAATTAAAATATAAAAATGATTAGCTCCGGATATAGGGGAAGATTATAGATTTCAGGTTCGGAACTTCCACTAATTAAAAAATGGTTGAATAAGTCAGTTAGGTGTTCGATTAATCAATCTTAAATTATGATTAAGTATTTCCTTTAGTGTAAGTAAGTTATTACGGCTATAATTATTACCAAAGTTCTAAAATAGAATACATTACCATTTATATGGTTGTCTAGACGTTTAAAAAGATATGACCGCTATTATTAGATAAAATCAATCAATGCTGATTGATCTATTTACCAAATGATTAATGATAATATTTTTTATTTTTATTTTTATTTTATAATTAGTAGGTGATTTAGGCTTGTAACACCCGGCTAATCTCTTAAGGTGAGTGTAACTATCGAGTAGCCCATTTATCGGGGTTTTTTCTAATGGGTCTAAAACATGACACCATTTCGATTAGCCAAATAGGAGTAATTTAAATAATTTTATGCTTGAAGGAAATCGATTCCTAATTTAGAATAATAGGGCAATTCTTTTTTAAGTGGAAACCATTAGACGAGCATCTCTTGCTTATACTGTATTTTGATTAATGGTATACTTGCTGATTAATCGGTTTAGATGATCATTTAATATGTTTGAGGTAATTTAATACTGTATTTATTAATTAGGTATACTCCCATGTCTCTACTTGACTACTTACCGAGGCAAAATTTCTATTAGAGTATTACCAACTGCTGTTGTAGACAAGAACCCTACAATAGTAAGGATGCAGGTAAGGGAGTTCTTGTGGTTCATGGCAGTGGAGTCAACAGATGTTATAGCTCATCCTACGATGAATCTTTGCAAAGTGAAGATTAATTGTTAATTTGTGTTTACAGGTTTATGAGAAAACTTCCGGTTAAAGCTTTCCCATATAATGCAAGATATGCTCTCTCCATCTTTTGGCGGAAGTCGTTAAAAACATAACCGTGGAAAAACAAACGTATTTGTATTTGTTGATCCTCCTGCTCCACGAATTATCTATTAGCGTAATTTTTTAATCCTAGTACGGATTTGTTGATTTTTTGTTTCTTATTCGATGCATCTCTAAACTTTTTTATGTGTATTGATTAATGAAAACTCTTTGATAAGAAAAAAAAAAGATATACACCGGTTGACACATATGGACTTTGGATTCCTAAAGGATCACACGAGGAGCCATTTCTCACATATGTTAGTCACTCTGACTACAAAGAAATAAGCTTCTCCCAAGTGATATTTCTATAGTTATCCTACGTGGAAACTTCTCACTACAAACGATATTTCTCAATTCTAGCTATTTTTGTTATTTCTGTATAAATACTGTTTCTTCGTTTAGATTCATTCAGTTAGAAACAAATTATAATTTGTCTTTTCCTTTCTGTGGTTAACAACCTGACCATTAACCATACTCCAGTCAATCATCGTTTTTTTTCCCAAAAAATAAAAGGCTTCGATCACCGTACGTAATCATATTGTATAGACATATCGTATTAATTGACTTATCCAGATGAAAATAAAATATAATTAAATCTTGAACTGCTGACTTATATATATAATAGGTGGCAACAACACACGTACTTTTTTTAAATCGCAAACTAGTTTCTCTTAACACAAAGAAAAAAGTTTTTGCTGACAAAAGTTCGCGTAATTTGAAAACAGTAATGCAAAAGTAATCTGATTGATTGTCTAATTTTTTTAAACAGTTTAAGCACTTTTACTCTTTATTCAACTGTGTTTAGACTTCTCCCATCATATATGTTTGATTGGTTAGTGCTATATAATTTATATACAGTTATACTTTTTTGAAAGTACTAATTTTTTCATAATTATGTTTTATACAGATTTTTAAAACTACAAATCTTTTTACTTTTTTTTTTTGCTGTACAAAGCAAAATATATAAAGCACTAAATTTTGGTTTTGAAAAATTAAAAATCATATAACACTAAAATCTACAAAATTAAAATCAATAACCATAACAAAAAAATTATACTTTTATTTGTATAGCAAAAAAACTTATAGTTTTATTTGTACAGCAAAAAACTCATAGTTTTATTTGTACAATAAAAAAACTAAAGCTACAGCAGTAATTAATCAAATTAAGAAATTAATTTTTTTTGGCAACCAAATAGACGTTAATTATAGTCTATGATTTCGTATTAAAATTTATAGAAATATATATTGTGCTGACCTATGAGTTACAAATTTATGCTTCATGCATGAGAGTATACATGTATATGTATATATGGTTTATATATGTAAAAATTAACTATTATAAAAAAAATTAAGTGATATATATATATATTGAAATTAAAAAAATAGTAGTCCCATAATTGGTTACGTTTCCAAATTCCAACCTCCTCCACCATCCAAGCACCACTTGGAAAGTTCATACAACTTGAGCCTTAGCTTTAAAAAAAAGGCCACACACCACAATTCCTTTTAAAGCTCTTTTTATACTCTTAGATAATTCATGGCGATATTTAGAATTTTTAATACTTTTGTTGACAAATAAAGAGTTGTTAATGTTTGTGATGATAGATATTCTGCTACATTAGTTAGATATAGTGGACTAGTCCTCATCTAATAATATCTTTCAAATTTTCCAAATCATATGTATATTATAAACATAGATTACAAACAAAAAAGAACGGGGGCTAAAAAAAATTAAAGTTTCTTTTTTCAAAATTAAAGTTTGTTTTCTTTAAACAATTTGTGATATTTTAAGAAATCAAAAATATGATATTATCATATTTATAGAATGCTCACTCTATTAGCTTTCAAAAGCTTTTAAAATTATATATATATATATATATATATATATCACCATTTTTGTCGTTTATTCTAAGCAGTAACTAATTAGACCTATTTAATATAAAAATGTAATTTCAAACCTTTTAAACATATTGAAAACTAAAATCAACAAACGAATAATTATCTTATGAATCAAAATAGCTTCTATACAAATACAAAGGATGGTTTGCACTCAAAACGATATTACAAAACTTTTTTTAGAGTAAATGACACTTAAATTTAGAATATATTTTATTAAATAAAATTATTTAGCTAAACACAGATCAATAATCAGTGATAAAATAAATTACAGAACAAAAGTATTTTAAAATTTTTTAATTAAAATTAAAAAATCATATAATTT